GAACTGATGAGGAGTCGTTATCAACTGCTGCCACCTTCCAGTCCCATGAGGCCTCAACCTTACCGGGTGTTGGGGGTCCATATGATGGAAGGCTCCCTGCCTTGTACCTGGGGCCTGTGTTTGATGGGTGATATTCTTTCCTTAAAGCAGGAGTTGTTTTTTTTTTTGCCAAGAGCCTCTCTAACAGTCTGGTAGAAGTCGATGGACCTCTTCTCAGAATGTTCTCCAATGCACACAGTGAAATACATGGGATTACAGAGGAAGTGAATTTTATTGAGAGAACCATCAACATACTGAAACACAAACTGGTGATGTAGTAACACATCCTTAGTTACTGTTGCATCAGTAAGATCATCCAGCAGGCAAATTGAGTTTGAGCTTTGTTTCTGAGGACACATCAGTGACAAGGCTCTTGTTGCTCAGCTTCGAGGGGGACATTAAGCTGGGGCCGGTCTTCGACAGACACATGCCCAGCAGAATGGGCACCAGGTGGTTGTGATTGCTTGGATGGTCCCTTTGCTGAGAAAGCCTCTTTGCCAATGGGACGGCAGCTTCTTTATGGCTGGCTTCGGAAGGTGAGGGCTGGTTTTTCTCCAGGATCGTCAGATTTCTCCATGCTCTTGAGTGGAACTCAGCCGTGGGAACCTGGATCCCATGGTGGGAGCCCACGACCACTGAGTGTAATTATCCCAAGTTGGCCAGTTATGTCACCCCGGTCTGTGGGCAGGGGACCTGGCTCCGATAATGACTGTGGTTTGAAAGGAGCGATGAGTGCAAGCCACGTTCCAGGTGCCTGCACAGCTGAGGTGTGATGTCAATGTCTGCGAGCGACCGAGATGCCCTGGGGCGGCCTCGCTGCGATCGAAGGAAATGCTTGCTTTCAGGTAGAAGTTAGGAAATAAAGGCATAGTTGTTTACCAACTATCCAGGCTCATGACACCCCTTAGTCTGGTCTCACTCAAATCCACCCTCCCCACTCTCCCCCCAGCAGAGGTTTGATCACTAGGGACCCAAACACCCCCATCCTTGCTGACCACAGCCCAGTAGTGGACAGACAGCAATGCTGTGACCATTAGGGCTGTTCATCTGGAAAGGGCTTTCAGACCATCTTATTCCCTCACTATCATTTTATGGCTGGGGACACTAAGGCCCAGAGAGTGGAAGGAAGTCGCCCAAGGCCCCACAGCCTGTGGCCAGCAGCATGGAGGCCCCTGACTGAAGGCCAGGCTAACTGAAGAGGAGAGTGCAGAGCCTGGGCATCCCAGGGTTTCACCATGCTCTAGACATTTTGGAGTCAGGTCAGCTTTCAAAGGATTCTGTTTTCCTCCCACCCCAGCAGATCACAGCTGTACACATCTGTGTTGTCTCCTGGCTGCCTTTATAGGCACTGGCTGGGGCCTGTCCTGGCCTGTGGCACTGGCGAGAGACGAGGTGGCTGGAGCTGGAGTCATCAGGAGGCCAGGGGGAGGAGCATGGAGGTGTCAGGCCCAGCACAGACCCATGGGAGCAGGGCCTGGCCTTGGCCTGGCAGCCATAGCCAGCTGTTGCCTCTGTTTGTCATGCCCTCCTTTGGGAGGCTGTTCCCACCCCTGCCCCCTGGGCCCAGACTGCCGCGAGGGGTCTGGAAAAGTTTGGTGAACTTTGTGTTGGGAGCCTGCTGTGGCAGGAGCGGTGGAGAGTAGTTGGGCTCTGCTGTTGGCTAGCTGGGGGTCCACTGTGGAGCCCCTAGCTCTGAGCTGCCTGTTTCCCTCCATGTTTGACCAGAGAGAGAGAGAGAAATTGGACCGGGTCGGAAGAGTCACGACGGGCTCTTATGAACACCAGGTGTGTGTGTTACCAAAGCTGTCATGCAGCTTCTGGGAGTTTTCAAGGCTGACAAGGCTGGGCAGGGAGCCCTTTCCGGACTAGAGAGGAGAGAAACAGGTGGTGGTTTGGAAGGTTCTGGGAGGGACAGCATGAGGCTAGTCATTCTGTCTAGGTGGCTCTGGGGAGGGGAGCATGAGTACACAGCCATGGGGAAAGCTTGGGGAGCACCCGACTTGGAACCAGGGACTTTGACTCAGGTCTGGGAGAGGGAGGGCACAGTGAGCTCAGCCTTCAGACTGAACTGCTGAGCCTTTGCTCCCCCATTCACTTCCTGAGGTACTGCTGCGGGTCATGAGAGGGCTGGGGCCAGGCAGGGGTGTGTGGATGGTTGGAGCAGATGGTCCCCACTGACTTGAGCAGCTCATGCCCAGCTGAAGGACCGTATTGTCTCTGTGCTTTTGTAGGGTGGACCCATGTTAGGGTGCAGGTGAGGTTGGAGGTGGGCAGGGCAGGTAGGTCACTTCTTCTCCTGATCCTGGACCAGTAATGCCATGAGGGGCCAGCAGCTGCTGGGCTCTCAGGAAGTTCTGTGTCCCATGTCTGGACCTGCAATCAATCCTCCCCACACTCTCTTGCAGCTCTTTATTTATTTATTTCCTTTACTGGTTCTGGAGAGAGAGGAAGGGAGAAGGAGAGAGATAGAGAAACATCGATGGGAGAGAACATCGATTGGCTGCCTCCTGCATGCCCCTCATTGGGGATCAGGCCCACAACCTGGGCATGTGCCCTGACCGGGAATTGAACTGGCGATCTCTTGGTGCCTGGGTCGATGCTCAACCACTGAGCCACACTGGCTGGGCTCTTGCAGCTCTTAACAGGTCTCTCAGCCCGTTTTCCCAGCCATTCTCTCATTTGTTTTAAATAAGCTTTACCTTTATTACCCAGTGTCAGAGTAGAAAAATCAGAAAGTACAGAGAAACAAAGAGGAGAAAATAAAAAATTACCTATAATCTCATCACTTGGTGATAACTCACATTAACATCTTGGTCTATATCCTTCCAGACTTTTCTCTTGAGACACTTTCATGAACTAAATTAAGATTGTAGCTTGAACTTGCAACCTGTTCTTTTCATTCCTGTTTCTGAGATGTCTTTTCATTTCAGTCAATATGGTGTGTGTATGTATGTATATATATATGTGTGTTTATATTTATATACATATTTATATATATGTGTGTGTATATATATAAATCCTCACCTGAGCCCTGGCCGGTTTGGCTCAGTGGTTGGAGCGTCGGCCTGTGGACCAGAGAGTCCCAGGTTCAGTTCCCGCTAGGGGCCTGTACTAAAAAAAAAAAAAAAATTTAAGTCCTCACCCGAGGATATTTTTTCATTTATGTCCAGATAGAGTGGTAGGGAGGGAGAGAGAGAAAGAGAGAAACATTAATGCGAGAGACACACATCAATTGGCTGCCTCCTGCACGACCCTGACCAGGGCCAGGGACCAAACCGCAACTGAGATATGTGCCCTTGATTGGAATCAAACCCAAGACTTTTTGGTCCATGGGCCGATGCTCTAACTGCTGAGCAAAACCAGCCAGAGCAATATATGATATATATATATATATATTTTTTATCCTCACCCGAGGATATTTTTCCATTTTTTTTTTTTGTACAGATAGAGTGGGAGGGAGAGAGAGGAAAGGAAAGGAGAGAGAAACATCGACGTGAAGGGACACATCGAGTGGCTGCCACCCGCACAACCAACCAGGGCCGGGGACAAACTGCAACCGAAGTACGTGCCCTTAGCGGGAACCGAACCCGGGTCTCTCCGGACCGCAGGCCGACACTCTAACCGCTGAGCCAAACTGGCCAGGGCCAATATATGATATTTTTAATGGCCATTTAACACTGCACCTTAGAGATGTCCTGTAATTTATTCAACAAATCCCCTGTTGTGAGCCAGAGGTTGTTTCCAGTGTTTTGTTATGTAAACAATACCACCCTTGTTGCCCATTTGTTGCATGCTTAAGTGCTTCCCTGGGAGGGAGCTCTCCATGAGGATGCCTCATGTGCATTGTTGGAAGTTTTGCCTGTTAATGATGTTGAGGTTGGTGATGTTGATGTTGGTGATGCTGAGGTTGAGGTTGATGATGTTGAGGTTGATGATGCTGATGTTGGTGATATCGAGGTTGAGGTTGATGATATTGAGGGTGATATTGATGTTGATGATGTTGAGGTTGATGATGTTGGTGATATTGAGGTTGATGATGTTGAGGTTGATGACGATGATGTTGAGGATGATGCTAATGATGTTGAGGTTGGTGACGTTGATGTTGGTGATGCTGAGGTTGAGGTTGATGATGAGGTTGGTGATTTTGATGTTGATGATGTTGAGAGAGAGAGAGAGAGCACTGAATCCTAACCACTAGACCACCAGGGAGCATTTGATGATGATGTTGAGGTTGATGATGTTGGTGATGTTGAGGTTGATGATGCTGGCGATGTTGAGGTTGATGATGTTGAGGTTGATGATGTTGATGATGTTGATGATGTTCAGGTTGGTGATGTTGATATTGGTGATGTTGAAGTTGATGATGTTGATGTGGATGATGTTGATGTTGATTTCAGGGGCCTGATACTTTCATTGGACCCTTGATCTTCTGAAAGCTCACTCCGTCTGGACTTCCCTGGCCTTGTTTTGTGACATTCATGACTAGAATGTCCTTCTGCATCCTGTTTCCATCCAGATCCTTTACATCCAAGCCTGACTTCCCTCAGCATGTTCCCTGGTTCTTCCTCAGGTCACTTACTTCTCCCAGTCTGGAAGACCTGCTTCTGTGTGGCCTGATCCAGTAACCTAGAACCCTTAGTCCCTACCTGGTGTGGAAGATTAACCCCTTCCTTTCTTATTTTTGCCAGAGGAGTGTAAACTCGAATGGGTCAGGGGCTCCGTCTATATCTCTCTATTTCTACAACCCCCGGAATGCCAGCAGTGGCTGGGCACATAGTAGACACTTAGTGACATGTGGTAGGCAGCACACCTGCCCCCATCTCCTGCTACAGGGTGAGCTGGCGCTCTCTGGGCCTCAGACTTGGATCTGTACATATGGTGGAGGTGAGGGGTAGTCTAGGTCGCTTCCTGTCCTGGCTTTTCCCACTCCCTCCTTGACCACATGCCCTCTCACCCCTCAGGTCTTGGGTCTGAGATTGCCGGCTGACTATGGGCACAACGGCCAGCACCGCCCAGCAGACGGTCTCAGCCAGTGCCCCCTTCGAGGGCCTCCAGGGCAGCAGCACGATGGATGGGCGGCACTCACTCAGTGTGCACTCCTTCCAGAGCACGGGCTTGCACAACAGCAAGGCCAAGTCCATCATCCCCAACAAGGTGGCCCCCGTCGTGATCACGTGAGTAGCGGGGGAACGTGACCATGTACCTGGAAGACAGGGCCATAGAAGCTGCCTGGGGTGGTGGTGGCGTAGAATACTTAGTGTCTGGAAGAAGATCCTGAAGCCCAGAGAGATTGGGCAGTTTATCTGGAATCACAATAAGCAGGTGGCAGAGACTCTGTCGTGGGCTCTAGCTTATGTCACTTACTGTGACCACAGTGCTAGGGAATGTGGAGGAAGAGGACTGGCTGGGGGAGGGGGTACTCTTTTGAAAATAATTTTTGGCTGAACATTTTCAAAGGAAGTTTATATACTTAGATGCATGAAATTAAGATTTTTTTCCCCCCCACAACCAGTAATTATGGTTGGAAACTGAGGTTAACACCAGGCCATTGAAGAGCCTCGGGCTGAAAAAGCTGGAAGCTGTTGGTCGACTGTCCTAATTAGGTCCTTCGGGGACATTCCTGGAGGAGGCTGAGGGTTTGTTCTGGTGTCATATTTTGAGAGAGACCTGGGTATCCAGAGGAGGGGGGTCAGGAAGGGACCCTGAAACTCTGTCTGCCCTGCGGGGCACAATGAAGGAGTTGGTATTGGGGAGCCCTGAGGCCAGAGAGAAGGAAGGGGCATTCGATCCGTCTCCTGGGGAGTCGGAAAGCCTTGTCTTGCATTGAATCTACCCACTGTGCTCCCCTGTCTCTGGACACAGGAAGTAGGGCATGATGAGCTGGGAATTAAATATATCCCACACATAGAAGTCTGGCAGCGACCTAGCAGATGGACTTTCTGTGTAAGGAAACCCGAAGGTGGGAATGATAAATTTGGCCTGCTTGCTTTGGGGCCTGACAGAATCATCGCAATCATAATACATTACTGTGTTCATGATGAGGGGAGGAAAGGACATGTTATATAAAAGAAACTTGATATATAGTCTCTCTACTAGAGACGATAAAACTAGGTTTGGGCCTTGAGGGCAGTGTTAGAGTTAAGTGTCCGGTCTTGCTCTGTGACCTTGGGCAAATCCTATTCCCTCTCTGGGCCTCAATTTCCTTATTAGGATATGTGGGGATGACATTCAAAGTATTTAGCTCTGTGCTGTGGCTCAGAGCAGTCGCCGGCCTGCTGTACAGATGTGCCGTAATGGGATTGTGCGTGCCTCTGGGAGCCAGCCCTGAGCGCAGCCCTGTTTGGGGTGGAAGGGACCTTAGAGGTCATCCAACACAGGCGTCGGCACATTGTATCTTGTGGGCTAAATCTAGCCTAGCATCTGTTTTTGTCAATAAAGTTTTATTGGGATATTGCCATTCTCATTCATTTATGTGTTATCTGTGTTATATGCTTAACACGACCACTGCAGAGGCGAGGGATTGCAACAGAGACTTTGTATGGCCCACAAAGTCCAAAATATTTACCATCTGGTTCTTGATATTAAAGGTTTGCCAACTCCTGATCCAATAATACCTTTTAGGTCAGATGTGAAAACTGACGTAGATACATGAACTGAGTTTCGAGGAGGTAGAGAGATTTGCCCACCACGGGCCCTGCGGGGAGATGGGGCCGCTGCAGCAGGAACCCGCATCTCCTGAGTCCTCCTCCGGTGCTCCCTGCCGCCCATCCCACCACCCTGCCTTTCTTAGAGGCTCTTTTATAAAGATCACCAGCTTTGGGAGGCTGTGTCTTCTTCAGTGTTAGAATCAGCACAGAAGCTTTTTATGTCTTGATCTGCAGAAACCTGGATTTGTAACTGGGTTTTATTTGAAATGGCCCTGTGTGGAGGTAGAACTACCTCTAGTAATAATGATTTTATTAATAAGCGCTTACTGTCCTCAGGGCTAAGCACTTACATTCATTAATGCTTTGATTTCTCACAGCAGCCCTAAGAGCTTAGGAATCACTGGAATCGAAGCAACAGATAGTTTAACTCCAAAGTCACGGAGTTACAAAGCAGTGGAGGTGGATTCATGCCCAGGCCACACGTCCTTGAAGCCTGTGTCCTGATCCACTTTACTGTGCTGTAGGATTATCAGGCTGGAAGTTGTGTCCAGAGACAGTTTGATGGAGGGGACCATCCAGGACCAGAGTAACTCCAGAATAGAGGCTTTATTCAAGATAGAAGCTCTCTCACACAAAAGTCCAGGAGATGCACCAGGCTTCATGATCAGCCAAATTCCTCTTCTCTTGTTGCTCTGCCATCATCATCTGCTTCCTGCCATCACTTCCGGATGTTAGCCAGGGAGGAAGAGAGAAAAGTAGAAGGCACACACTCTCCCTTTAAGGGAATGGCTCAGAAGTCACTTCTCACATCCCATTGGCCAGAACACAATCACATGACCACACTAGCTGCAAGGGAGGCTGGCAAATGTAGTTTTCATATGGACAGTCCAGTCCCCATTCTAGGGTTCTATTGCTGACAGGGGAGAGTGGATATTGTGGTACAATGGGCTATCTCTACCACAAATGGGTAACCACTTGGGTGGGGTGTGGTGGCCCTGCTATGGGTTCTGGTGAGGATGGAGTAGACGTTGGCTGTGCAGGTTGCCTGATTCGGTGTCCATCTGCCCCCTGCAGGTACAACTGCAAGGAGGAGTTCCAGATCCATGATGAGTTGCTCAAGGCCCATTACACGCTGGGCCGGCTCTCGGATGCCACCCCTGAGCACTACCTGGTGCAGGTGAGGTCAGGCCCTGCTCTTTCCTCCTGCTTCCAGCTTCTCCCCACCCCTCCTGTCGTCCTTCCTCACAGGTTCTCTCCCTAATCTCTTCTGCTTTCCCCACTGTCCTCCTCTGTTTTAGTGCCTCATCCCACTCTCGCAGTCCCAGTTCCACTTCTCCTCACCCCTGGTTTCCTGGGACCCTCCCTACCCCTCCCCTGCCTGGCCCCAGCATGCCCACACCAGGGAGAATATAGATGAGCACAGGGGTCCCTAGGCCCCAGACTGCTTCCCCTAGGCTGGGGATCTCCCTTCCCCTCTCTTTTGAAGTTTCAAAACTTCTCTGGCTTAGCTGTTTTGTGTCTTAAATATCCCCTAGAAAATAAAGTCTACACAGATGACTTTATCTGTCTTGTTTACTGCTGTAGCCCCAGGCCTCAGAACAATGCTCGGGCACAAAGTAGGTCCTCAGTGAACAGTCAGTGAGTGAATACTGACAACTGAACTGTATGTACGGAAAGAGTAGCTGGGATTTCTGGCATCTGGAAGAACTGGTCCCACTTGTCTGTCAGCAGTGTAGGCGCTGGTCAAAGGGTGGACAAGATGGCCTCAGGGTTCCTTTTTGTCCAAGAATGAGCTCTTCTATTTCCCCTGCTCTCCCCTGATCTCCGAGTACCGTTTCCTCCTTTCTCCACAGTCACGGCATTCTGTTATTCCAGGTGGGGGGGAGGGACCTGCCCGTCCTCAGAAGACCTAGCAAGGGGCCAGTGCAGTCTTCCTCTAGGTGATTCCTGTGGCCCAGCTGTGATCCCTCTCCATACCCACCCTCCGCCTCCCAGGGAGTTGTGAGCCCACCCAGTGCCAGTCTGTTTCCGGCCCTGAGGTGCCTCTCCCTGCTCTCCTTCAAGGCGGGGCTCAGATGGCGCCTTCTCAGATTGCCATTCAGGAGAGCTGTCTTTGCTCCCACTCTGGGACCCCCTTCCGGGGATCACAGATGGTCATGTGTTTTGTCTGTTTTCTCTGTGAGCCTGCAGACAATTTGAGGACCTTGTCCCCTACCCCATCTCCCTGATCCCTATCCCCTGGGGCCTGGGATGGAGCCCTGAGTCATCTCAGTGACCCCCCCGTGGCTCTTCCACTGCCAGGGACGCTACTTCCTGGTGCGGGATGTGGCCGAGAAGATGGACCTGCTGGGCACCGTGCGGAGCTGTGGGGCCCCCAACTTCCGGCCAGTGCGGGGCGGGCTCGCCGTGTTTGGCATGGGGCAGCCCAGCCTCTCGGGGTTCAAGCAGGTCCTCCAGAAACTCCAGAAGGACGGACACAAGGTAAGCATGACCGTTTAGGCGGGGCTAACCCTCCGAATCTGGGGAAAGGGGCTCCCGGGAGAGACAACTTCAGAGCCTTTGGAGGGCGCTGGTCACACGGGGGGCGGGCGGCTGGCGAGCGGACGAGGCCCTGCCAGGCCTCGACACCACCGCGGTCTTGGTGGTCGGCGGGGTTGGAAATTTTGAGCAAATGTTTATTGCATTGTCCTGTATGGACGTGGGCGCCTCGAGGAAGTGAGGAGGGTGACAGGGTGACAAGAGGGGCCAGGTCACAACGATCGCAGCGAACACCTAGAGCCTCACGTCCGGCCTCTGAGGTGGGGCAGTTCTCCCATCCATAGACGAGGAAACAGATCCAGGGAGGGTAAGCGACACAGCTCATGAGAGGTGTCCCCAGACCCAAACCCAGACATCTGGGTTCCAAGTCCCTGCTTCCAGTGGCTCTTCTCTCCTGCCTGCTGTCCAGGCGGGGCTTGGTCTCCAGGACAGACGCCGAGGGCCCGCTGTGTTTCAGGGTCGTGGCAGGCTCCCCACGTCTGACGGAGGATCTGAGTGGACCGGAGTGGGATGGGTGTTAGCTGGGGGCAGATCCCATCTCCCCAGCCGGACTGTGGGCTCCTCCGGGGTGTCCACTATCTCGCTCCGTCTGCACGACACACCGTGAATGAATGACTGCACTTTGGCGGGCATTCGTTTTTCAACGGATGTTATCACGTGTGTGACTTATCCAGTGCTCTGTGCTGGGAACTGTGGAGACATGGAAGTGACCAGGATATGATTCTACCTGTGAGGACCCTGTAATCCACTAAGGAGAAAATACGTGTTCATTGATAACGTTACCACAAAGCGGGAATTAACATTATGAGGTTCAGATGAAGGACTGAGAGGAGGGAGGGGCAGGAGCAGGTGCATTTGGTCTGAGCCTTGCTTCTTGGGTAGGATTCAGGTCTCAGGGCATGTGGGGCGATGAGCCCTTGGGGAGGGGACCGGTCCGTGCCGACAGTGGCGATGACTTCCTCCCCGCTCGGGCTCCCGGCAGGAGTGCATCGTGTTCTGTGTGCGAGAGGAGCCCGTGCTGTTTCTGCGTGCTGGTGAGGACTTCGTGCCCTACACGCCTCGAGACAAGCAGAGCCTTCACGAGAACCTCCAGGGCCTCGGACCTGGGGTCCAGGTGGAGAGCTTAGAGCTTGCCATCCGAAAAGAGGTGAGGCCACTGGGGTGGGTGGGGGTCCCCTCCCTGGTCGGCCTTGGGCAGCCGAGTTGAGACCCCAGCCCACAGCTCAGCTTTGCCCTCACTGGCTCCTGCTCACCCACTTGCCTGCCTGCGCCTGGCTCTGAGGAGCTCCCTGCAGCCCGCGGAAGGACTTCCTGTTCCCAGCTCCGTCTGCCTCTGCCTCTCCACCTGCCGTTCCTCTCCACACTCAGCGTCCGTCCTTAGAGGTCTGGGGAGGGCAAAGAGCACTAGACTAGGAGTCTAAGACTAGTTCAGCCCCCGCGAGCTCTGAGGCCGGGGGTGAGACCCTTCTCTCGTGGTTACTGAGGTTCCTCTGCCCTCCCCCTCAAGGTTTGTCAGTGTCTCTGAGACCGACGACACCACAGAGTAAGGGGATCACTGTGCCCCCTGAGACTTCCTCGGGCAGGGACCGAGGCTGCACTGGCCACTGGCCGTCTCCCCATCTCCCTTTCAGGCCTCTAGCTCCCGGCTGACTGAGTCTTGCCCTGCCCTTCACTCTGGTGGCTTAGCTCACTCCTGCTGCCCGCTGGGCAGAGCGCTTCCTGCCTGACCCCAGTGCATAGGTAGCTGCCCTCAGGACGCCCAGGTCATAGCACCCGGCCATGTAGTTTCCCCTGGGGGATAAGCAGCCTGTCTGTGGCCTCTGTGTGGCCTAGTCCCTCCAGAGCCCAGCCAGGAAGGCCAGGAGGGACCTGAAGATCCATCATGGCCCTCTGGCCCCCCCACACCTCCATTTAGATCCATGACTTTGCCCAGCTGAGCGGGAACACGTACCACGTGTACCACAACGTCGAGGACCTGCGGGGCGAGCCCCACGCCGTGGCCATCCGGGGCGAGGACGACGTGCATGTGACCGAGGGGGTGTATAAGCGGCCCCTGTTCTTGCAGCCCACGTACAGGTACCGAGGGCCAGGCCTGCACAGGACCCCGGGTGCTGGGCCTCAGCCTCGCCAGCTGCAGGGTGGAGGGATGCCCAGGTATGTGGCCTGCCTGATGGGCTGCTCCCCCTCACCCGGCAGGTACCACCGCCTGCCCCTGCCAGAGCAGGGGGCTCCCCTGGAAGCCCAGTTTGATGCCTTTGTCAGTGTCATCCGGGTGAGTGGGGCAGGAGGGCTGTTGGGAGCACTGGAGGGGAGCAAGGGCCCGGAGAGTGGAGGTGCTCAGGGTGGGTGCGGCCTCCGGATTTCCTCAGAAAGAGTTCTCCTTCTGCGCTGTGTGGTGTCGAGCACGTTGGGTATGTGTGTGGGTTGTGTGCGTGTGTGTCTGTGTGGGTGTATTTGTCGTTTTCCGATGACAGAGCCCAGCACTGGCTGTCTGGGGACTGGCTTTGGCTGTGACGAGGCTTGTTGTGTGATCCTGTACAAATGTAATCATTTCTTTACTGGAACTAAAAATTCCTGCCCCCTAGACTCTTCTACTGATACTCCCTGAGTCTTGGTGGTGTTTCTTTTTATATTATGGTTTTATTGATTTTTTTAGAGAGAGAGAGAAACATTGGTGTGAGAGAGACATCGATCGGCTGCCTCCTGCACGCCCCCTACTGGGGATCCAGCCCACAACCTGGGCATGTGCCCTGACCAGGAATCGAACTGGGACCTCCCAGTCCACTGAGCCACACCTGCTGAGCTGGCGGTGTTTCTTTCCCAACCCCTTCAGGGGGTCATCTTATTTAATTTGCATCTCATAGGGGTGTTAGATGTGGCCTTGTCCCCCTGAGTAGTTCTCACTTCCAGAGCCAGTGCCTTGGTCTCCCCACGGGTCTGGGAAGGAGGCAGGACCTGGGGGCATGTGGAGCAGATCAGGTCGCAGGGTTTGGCAAAATGGGCTGAGCTGCCTGGCTGTCCCCAGCTTGCTGCAGACTGTGGGGTGGGGGTGGGCCTATGTCATGACCCCTGCCCCTACTTGCTCCTCAGCTGAGGGGTGCCTGGGTCATGCTGTTACATGATATCCACGGTCCTTCCCCAGGAGACCCCCAGCCTGCTGCTGCTCCGAGGTGCCCACGGGCCTCCGCCTGCTCTCCTCTTCAGCTGTCAGACAGGCGTGGGCAGGACCAACCTGGGCATGGTCCTGGGTACTCTCGTCCTGTTCCACCACAGTGGGATTACCTCCAGGCCAGAGTGAGTGGGGTGGGACCCAGTGCCCCACTATGCCGGGGACGCGTCGGGAACTCAGAGGCCAGAGCTAGAAATTGGGCATCTGGGGTTTGCCGTAGACTTGCAGGGTGACCTTTCTGGGCCCCAATTTCCCTAGGGGGGAAATGCCCCTTGCCTCCCCCAACCGATTTGAAAGGAAGACTTGGAGCCTGGAGCCTGGGGCCTCTTGGCGGCCCTATATACGGGCGAGTGTCCCCAGCAGGGCCATCCTAGCGCACTGATGACGCTCCTGCCCCCTCCGTCAGGGCCGGCCCTGCGAAGACCAAGCCTCTGCCCATGGAGCAGCTCCAGGTGATCCAGAGCTTCCTGCACATGGTGCCCCAGGGAAGGAAGATGGTGGAGGAGGTGAGCAAGGTCTGGGCAAGGAGCTGGGGCCGGGGCAGTGCGGAGCATCCACGCCCTTCACGGGCTGGGTCTCTGCCTCCCCGAAACCCCTGCTGTCATTCTTGGCCAATCATTCTCTTCTATCTCCACCATTTCCCCTTGGCCCTGCGCCCTCCTGGCTGCTGTCCCCTCGTCCCTGCCCTGGGCCTGGCACCAGGTGGACAGAGCCATCACTGCCTGTGCTGAGTTGCATGACCTGAAGGAAGTAGTCTTGGAAACCCAGAGGAAGCTGGACCGTGTGCGGCCGGAGAGCCCAGCCCAGGTGAGGCACGGAAGCTGTAGCTTTGGCATGAGCCGCAGCCTCGTTTTGTCAGGCTATTGACTGGTTGCTTCTCCCAGGAGAAGAGCGGTTTTCAGAGGAAGGGAGGCAGGGAGCTGGGTGTGCAGGAAGGACGGATGAGGAAGAGGGGAAGTTTACTTTCCTGACCAGGTCCCCTCGCTGCAGCATAAACAGGATGGAGGTGGGGCTGCTGGCCAGGTGCTGGGGCCTCTGGGCCCAGTACTTCGCAGCCTGCTCATGGCTTCGCCCTCACACAGACCTTGGTGTTTCTGTGGGAGGCTGGGGTTTGGTCCAGCCGCTGCCTCTGGAAGCGTGGTGGGCTCTGGGCTGTGTCAGCAGGCGCGTCCCGACTCCGACAGGGTTCGCAGACAGTGCATGGAAAGAATTTAAAGCCTGCAGAGCCCTTTCTTCTTTAACACTATAAAAACATCATTAAAAGCAGTATTATACTGTGGAAAAATGGAGAAATTAGCGAAGGAAACAGTTGCTCATCGACCCAGCATAGCTGCTGCGCGCTTTGGGCTGGCTCCCCCCATCCTTCGCGTCTGCGGCGGCCTCGTCAGGTGGCCCCAGCACGAGGTTGCATCCTGCTGCTCTGTCTTGTCTCCCCTGGTCGCACCTGGCCGCCCTCACTGCGGTTGCTGGCGTGTCACTGAAGGTCACTGCTGGGTCTGCCATCGTTGGCCTCGTAGGTGGAGAGCGTGGTGGCCTAGCTTCCGGTCCTGGCTCTGCCCTGCACAGGTGTGGATGTGGGCAGCTGCTTAACCGCTCTGTGCCTCAAGTTCCCCACTTGGAAAACGACCCCGCAGAGCTGTGGGCAGGGAACGTCAGCTACGATCCATGGAGCACTTAGAAGGGGGCCTGATGCAGAGCAGGGGTTCCTGGCATGTCCCCGGCATGGTTTATTAACAGGCCCCTTCTTGTTGGACAGTTGTCACCTCCAGTTCCTATCAGTGTAAACACTGTTGTGTCACGCAGCTTTGTGAAAATGAGCTTTCATGCATGTAGAATTCCCTCCTAGTCTGGATTAGGGGGTCGCTCTGTGGCCCGCGGGCCAGGCCCAGCCCACCACCTGCTTTGTGAATAAGTCTCACGGGGGCATGGTCTTGCCTCTTCACCACGCGCTGTCTTTGGCGGAGTTGAGACAGATTGCAGCTGCAAACCTAGAATACTTACTGTTTGGCCTTTTATAGAAATAGAAGTTTGCCAGTCTTTGGTCTAGATTCCCAAAGATGGAATTCAACTTCATCAAAGGGTCTGACCTTTCATTCGGACCTGTACCCATCTCCCTTGCCCTCTGGAGGGTGCTACTGACCCTGTGGGAGAACCCTGATAGCTGACGGCTGAGAGAGGGACCCTCCCTGACAGCGTCTCTGACAGCCCCCACCCAGAGGTGCTGGGCTGGGGTTAGGACCTTTGTTTGGGACCCAGCTCTGTGACGTTGAGCAACTCAGCTCCTGTCTCTGAACCTCAGTTTTCCCTCTGTAAAGTAGGGTAATGACTATGGCCCCTCGGAGCACTGTCATAAGGGCCTTCCTGTTTCCTCGCAGGGAGGGTCACAGACTCGGGAGAGACTGGGTGCACTTGCCGCCCTGGGGTGGCTTTGGAGAACCTCGGGGAGCCGCAACCTTCTGGGCTGACAGCCGGTGGGGAGGCAGACCCTGCACGCACACGGTGGTGCTGCTGCAACCGCCCTAGCTCCCTGCGCCGCGGCCTACCTGCTGCAGGTGGCGCAGGCTAGATGCTGGGAGAACTCCCCGCCTGGCAGAACTGTGTAATGAAGGGGAGATAGATGGTCTACTTGGGGTTTCTGAGAATTAACTCCTGCTCTTCCCGGTGGCGCTGTGTGGCCAGAGCAGCCCGTCTTTACCTCCCCACCTTCTCTCCCTCCCTCCTCTCAGGGAAGCAGCAGCCAGCACAGTGTCCGGCAGAGGGCGCTGCGGGGCCTGGAGCGATACTTCTACCTGGTCCTGTTTAACTACTATCTTCATGAGCAGGTGGGGCCAGGGGACGAGTGGACTCATGCCCCTTCTCCTGGGGCCCCTCCTCCCTCACCACCACAGTGACTGGCGTGGGGTCAATGCCCCCGTGGACCTGGGGGGCAGAGTTCGGGACACATGTGTTGGTTCCAGAGGAAGGCAGGTGTTGAGACGCAAGGAGAGTCCCAGATAGGGGGTGGTCCCTGAGCAGGCAAAGGGAGGCCCCACTTTCCCATGGGCCCCATCTCTGTACCCTTATCCAGGGCATTGGGGCCCAGAAAGATCTTGCTTCGGATGGCCTGGTCCTTGCTCCCCACCAGCCCTGGGCCATCATGGGTGTCTCCTGGGGCTGCCCCACCCTGGGGCAGGCAGGGAGAGGTCAGGGTTTCCCTGTACCCCTGAACTCCCGTCTCTCTGCCTCGGGCTGCAGTACCTGCTGGCCTTTGCCCTCAGTTTCAGTCGCTGGCTGTGTGCCCACCCTGAGCTGTACCGCCTGCCTGTGACACTGAGCTCAGCAGGGCCTGTGGCCCCGGGGGACCTCATCGCCAAGGGCTCCCTGGTGAGTGTGGCTGTCTGTCCGGGGAAGCGGGACTGCGTGGGGGCTGGCCCTCGATTCCTGTGGGGTTCAGGTCAGCATTGCCCTCACCAGAGGCAAGGGGGTGACAGCCTGTGGGGAGGTAGAATCTTCTTGTGAGCACCATGGGGTCATCCGCAGGCCCAGGAAGCAGCCGCTGCTTTGGCCCCACTTCTGGTCCCCCCTCCTCAGTCTCCCACCGAAGTGGTCTGGTCAGGGAGTCGGGAGATCTAGTTCTAGAGTCTTTGCCATCAGCTCCTCGTTGAGCCTCCGTGTCCTTATCTGGAGAGTGGGCACCGCTGGCCTCCTTGCCAGGCAGCAATGAAGCTCTGGGTGCGAAGTGCTGGTCCCACCCTTCTGTTGCCCCCCTCGCGCTAGTTCGGAACCTCCCGTGGCTGCTGTGAGTCCCAGGCTTGCTGCTCTCCCCACAGGGGGCGGATGATCTCATCTCCCCAGACGCACTCAGCACCATCAGGGAGATGGACGTGGCCAACTTCCGGCGGGTGTCCCGAATGCCCATCTATGGCACAGCCCAGCCCAGCGCCAAGGTGACTATCCCAGCAGGACTGGACCCACTTGTGGGGTGGTGGGAGGGGGGGCTGAGCCCTCTGCCGACTGTTCTGTTCCTCCAGGCCCTGGGGAGTATCCTGGCCTACCTGACTGATGCCAAGAGGAAGCTGCGGCAGATCGTTTGGGTCAACCTGAGGGAGGAGGCTGTGCTGGAATGTGATGGGCACACCCACAGCCTGCGGCGGCCTGGGCCCCCCCTGACCACTGACCAACTGGAGGTGAGGCCCTCTGCCTCCGACACACCTCTACCTTGGAGGCCTGGGGAATTGGCCTGGAAGGGGCTTTAGAAGGTCCCATGCTCCTATTGTACAGATGGAGAAACTGAGGCCCCAAGAGGAACAGTGTGGGAACAGTGTCAGGGAGTGGGTGATTCAGGATTCCTGCTATGGCCACCTGCCTGGTTCTGGGTCTGCTTGCTGGCCCCTGAGGCTCAGGACAGGGCAGGTGTGTGTCCAGAAGCCAGGGCTGGTCCTGGCCACAGCAGACTTCAGTCTTTTAGGTCTGGCCGGGAGGCTGCCTCAGTGGCCTGTGTGCCCTCTGTCCCATCCTCCCCTAGAGCCTGGAGACCCAGCTGAAGGCCCACCTGAGTGTGCCTCCCCCAGGCGCAGAGGGCCCCCGGACCCAGACGTGCCTCACCATGCAGGAGGTCTTCAGCCAGCACCGAAGTGCCTGCCCCGGCCTCACCTACCACCGCATCCCCATGCCAGACTTCTGTGCCCCTCGCGAGGAGGTGAGGGGCCGGGCAGGCAGGGCCTCTGGGGGGGGGGGGCTCCCTACTTCCCCTCTGGCCTGGGCCTTGGCTGTGGTCACAGCTCTGCTGAGGGCCTGGATGCTCGTCCCACAGGGTTTTAGGTCTGGCTCCGGTGGTTTGTTCACGTCCCTTCCAGGCCTGGTATTTGCATGCCTGTGTGTGTGCCTGTGTGTGTGCACTGTGTTGTGGGTGTGTGTGGGCGCAAGGCATGTCCATGGTGTTTGTGGTATGTGTCTGTTAGGGGACAGGAGTAGGTATGGATGTCACTGTGGAGTGTGTATATGTGTGTGGAGTGTGTATTTTAATAGGGTCTGATGTATGTTTTATCTTTACTGGGGAACAAGTGGGGAGAGTGTGTCTTTTGGGGAACTGTGTGGTGTGGTGTGTGTATAGGGTTTTGGGGGGAGGGTGTTGTGGGATGCTGTGCATGACTGAGGGTGTTTGTGTGTTTCTGGAATCTGCAGGTTTGTGATGTATGTGTCTTTGTGGATGTCTGTGTAGTGTGTCTTTAAGGGACGTGTGTGATGTGTGTTTGGCACGTATTGTGTGAGGGTCGCTGTGTGTCTGATACATTGGCTTTTTGGGTGCCGGGTCTGTGCGGTGTGTGCAGGGCCTATGACATGCTCCGATGTGACAGGTGGTGATGGGGTTGGATTTCCTGTCTCACTTTGCTGGTGGATCTGGTTGTCTGTGGTTTGTCGCCCCCTGGTGGCTGTGTACTGCAGTGATCTGCTGAGGTCCAGATTCTGCCCTTAGGCTGGAACTTGGGCTGGGTCTATGGGTGACCTGGGGGGTGCAGCTCAGTGGTGTGCGTGCACATGTGCGTGTTTGGCCTGGTGGACAGTGAGCAGCAGGAGCCCCAGGTTTGTGTGTGTGTCTGCTAAAGTGCCCGGTCTCAGTCTTGGGGTGCAGATTATGCCGTACATAGGGCTATTTACATTCCCATGGTCTTGTGTACACTGCAGTGAACTGAGTGTGTGTATACAGGCCGTGAGCCCAGTACAGAGCCTGGCACAGGGTGAGCCTCCCTTTTGGCAGGTGGGCCACCCTGGGAGTCTGTGCAGCCAGGAGCACCCGCGGACTCAGACCTTGGTCTCCCCACGCAGGATTTTGACCGGCTGCTTGAGGTCCTGCGGGCTGCCCTCGCCAAGGACTTGGGCACCGGCTTCGTGTTCAGCTGCCTCAGTGGCCAGGGCCGGACCACGACGGCCATGGTGCTGGCTGTGCTCACCTTCTGGCACATCCGAGTACGTGAGGCCTTGTGTGAGCACAGCTCTCCCAGGCAGAGGGGGCTTGGGCCTGGGGACCCCGGCTATGCCGGGCGGGCGTGGGGGTGGAGAGGATGGCGGAGGGCAGACGGGTTGGCAGACCCCTGGCAGGGGGCTCATGGCACGAGGGAGAGGTACAGCCTGGGCAGGGTGCTCCCATTCCAGCAACTGTCCTCCCTCAGGGCTTCCCGGAGGTGGTCGAGGAGGAACTCGTGAGTGTGCCTGATGCCAAGTTCACCAAGGGGGAGTTCGAGGTGAGCGGGCCCTGCAGCGTACCCTGCGAGTCTTGCTGGCAGGTCTGCAGGGACTTTCAGAGCTGTTAATACTCTTGCCTTCTTTCACCTCATCACACAAGTGCTTCTCTGTTCCCATTTCACAGACGAGCAAACCGAGGCACGGGGCAGGTTGGCTCTGGGGCCCTGGCAGATGACTGTTGGGGATGAAGGACCTGGACTCCCTTCATTCTGCCTAACCCTGTTGCTGGGCTACTGTGTGCCCTGGGGGAGGCCACTGGCCACCATCTTATCTAGGTAGCATTGACAACCCCCTCATAGGCACCTGGGACCCAGCGATGTTTGGTGACCTTGGTGCAGGGCCCTGGCCTGCCCACCCTCACCCCCATCTCAGTTCAGGGCACTGGATGGACAGCCACTAACATTTCCGATGTAGTCACCCATGCATTGCACCTGCCACATTGTACCTTCCCAGACACCTTGCAGGTCGGTGGCAATATCTCCCTCTTACATGTGGGGAACGTGGAGCTCAGAGGTAGCAGGTGGCTGCCTGGTGTCAGCACTGTGGTTGACTCTTATCTGCCTGGCCACATGCCCCTCCCTGCTGTCCCGCCACCTGGCTTCCACGGGCCCCTCCCTGCTGTCCCACCACCTGGCTTCCACGGGCCCCTCCCTGCTGTCCCACCACCTGGCTTCCACGTGCCCCTCCCTGCTGTCCCGCCACCTGGCTTCCACGGGCCCCTCCCTGCTGTCCTGCCACCTGGCTTCCACGGGCCCCTCCCTGCTGTCCCGCCACCTGGCTTCCACGTGCCCCTCCCTGCTGTCCCGACACCTGGCTTCCACGGGCCCCTCCCTGCTGTCCCACCACCTGGCTTCCACGGGCCCCTCCCTGCTGTCCCACCACCTGGCTTCCACAGGCCCCTCCCTGCTGTCCCACCACCTGGCTTCCACGTGCCCCTCCCTGCTGTCCCACCACCTGGCTTCCACAGGCCCCTCCCTGCTGTCCCGCTACCTGGCTTCCACGTGCCCCTCCCTGCTGTCCCGACACCTGGCTTCCACGTGCCCCTCCCTGCTGTCCCCCACCTGCTCCACGGGCCCTCCTGCTGTCCCCACCTGGCTCCACGGCCCCTCCCTGCTGTCCCGCCACCTGGCTTCCACGTGCCCCTCCTGCTGTCCACCACTGGCTTCCACAGGCCCCTCCTGTGTCCCGCTACCTGGCTTCCACGTGCCCCTCCCTGCTGTCCCGACACCTGGCTTCCACGTGCCCCTCCCTGCTGTCCCGCCACCTGGCTTCCACGGGCCCCTCCCTGCTGTCCTGCCACCTGGCTTCCACGGGCCCCTCCCTGCTGTCCCGCCACCTGGCTTCCACACAGGTCCTCGAACCTGCCAAGCTCAGTCAGCTTCTAGGCCTTTGCATACGCTGTTCCCTCACCCTGCAACTCTTCTCTCTGTTTTCCTGGCTGATTCACGGATTCTCTTCTTTTTATTTTTTTATTTTTTTATTGTAGTTAAATACACATAACATGAAATTTACCTTTTTTTTTTTTTATCCTTACCCGAGGACATTTTCGCATTTATCTTCAGATAGAGCGGGAGGGAGAGAGGGAGGAAGAGAGAGAGAGAGAGAAAGAGAGAGAGAGAGAGAGAGAGAGAGAGAGAGAGAGAGAGAAGCATCGATACCAGAGAGACACATCAAGGGGTTGCCACCCACATGATCCCGACCGGGGCTGGGGACAAACTGCAACTGAGGTACATGCCCTTAGCGGGACCCAAACCCGGGACTGTGTGATCGGCGGGCCGATGCTCTAACTGCTGAGCCAAACCGGCCAGAGCCCATTTAACCATTTTTAAGTGCACGGTTCTGTGGCATTAAGTCCGTTCTCATTGTTGCACAACTATCACCACCATTCAGAACTTTTTCCTCATCTCAAACTGACCGTACCCATTAAACAGTAACCCCCCATTCTCCCTTCTTGCCCCTGGCAACCACTGTTCTATTATCTGTCTCTATGAATTTGATTACATATACAAGTAGAATCACTTATAATATAGGACTTACTAATACGTATTTGTCATTTTGTATCTGGCGTATTTCAATCAGGATAATGTCTTCAAGGTTCATTCATGTTGAGCATGTATTAGGATTTCCTTCCTCATAAAGGCTGACAAATATTCCATTGTGTGCATATACCATATTTTGTTTATCCATTCATCTGTTGATGGACACCTTTAAAAAAAAGATTTAAAAAAACTGACCTTTAGACAGGAAGAGAGTGATGTTAGAGTGAAACAATGACCAGCTGCCCGTCTGAGAACCCAGGACAGGCCGGGCTCTGTGGTCAGGCCTTGAGGCCAGCGCGGCCTCTGGTGCGGGGTGAGCCTGTCGCTGGGGTGGGAGGCCCCAGCCGTCCGCCTCGGCTCTCTCTCTGCTCAGCCCCCTCCCTCTGGCCCCAGGTGGTGATGAAGGTGGTGCAGCTGCTGCCTGAAGGGCACTGCGTGAAGAAGGAGGTGGACGCAGCGCTGGACACAGTCAGTGAGACCATGACGCCCATGCACTACCACCTGCGGGAAATCATTATCTGCACCTACCGCCAGGTGAGCCCCTCCCTTAACCCAGGTGCACAGCCCAGGTGTGGCCACTGTGCTACGAGGTGGCTAGGGGTCCCTTGGGACCCTCACGGGCTCTTGGTCACTTCCCCACCTTCTGGAAGCAGAGGTGATCCCTGAGATGGAAACACGCCGGGTCCCAACTTGATTCTGCAGCGCCCAGTGGGTTGCCTGCGAGGGTGCTGGTCGAGGGTTCAACAGCTGCTGTATCTCTGGGACCCGTCACGTATGTGGCTGACCAGAACGAAACCCTGTCCTGCTTCCCTGTGGTGCCAGGTAGCACCCTCCAGTTTCTTTTAAGGGAGCCTGGGAGCAGACGGGGCCGCTCTGTGGGCCTGGAGAGTGGCTGTTTGGTAGCCGGCAGGACAGCAGTTAACAGCCGATACTGCTGAGGGAGATTTCCATAACAGCCCAGATTACAGGTATAAATTCTGATTTTTAGCCTGTTTAGGAAAATTGTGTCCCCCTCTTGGCCATGGTCCCCAGTGCTCTGTCACACATGGCCCTTCTGGCCCAGTCATGTTACCTGCCAGGCAGCCCTGGGCATTGGACTTCGTGGCCTCTGGTCTGTGAGGAGCACTGACTGCCTGATTCTGTCCTCTGCCCAGTAAATGTGGTTGGCCGCTGGGGTGAGGAGGGCACTGGGGCAGGGAGGGGCAGCCATGGGGGCGACGGGGCTTCAAGAAGACTGCCTGAAGTGAGTGGGCATCCCCTTGGGTGCCAACCTGGTGTCATCGTCTGCTGGCCAGCAGTTCCCAAGGACAGCTTCTGCCGGTGGCCCCTGCAGAGGCGGGGGCTCCAGGCCAGCTTCGTGCTCTGCCTGCACCGGGCACGCCTTGGTGAAATGCTGATCCGGGCCAACCCCTGCCGAGGTCATAGCTCAGACCATGACTGGGGCACTGGGTGGGTGCTTGGCTGAGGCAGGACATCTGCGGTCAGGCTCTGCTCAGGATCCGAGGTCAGTTGGAAGGGCTGCCACATGTGGGGTGGGCAGAGTGGTTAAGAAGTTTCGGAAAATGAACTTTGCTGGTTTTCCCCAAGGCCCCAGCTGCATTGTATCTCTACTTGCTTTTGGGTCTTCATGGAAGTTTGGTATGCTGCCGCCAGGTGGCAGCCAGGAGCTAAGAGACTGGGCTCCTCTGGCTTTCAAAGGATACAGGGCAGAGAACGGAAGCTGCTAGTTCTCTCTCTGGCTGGAAGCTGAAGCAGTTGAAAGTGTTGCCTAGTCCTGTTTCAAAGCATCAGAGTTCCCACCCCACACTGACCGCCCTGTCAGAGTCCCCCTCCTGACACCCCCCTCCTTCTAGCCCGGCTAGCTCTTAAGTGCTTTTAGGCATTTTAGGTACCCCACCCCCACCCCACCCCCAAAGCTCATAGGCCCCCCCTCTGAGCTCTCAGCCATGGATGTCCTTTGTGAGGCACCCAGAGGGGGAGCAGGGAGAGGAGCGGTTTCACAGGGCTGACCTGAAACAGTCCCCATATGATGGGGGCTGGGGAAGGCACCCAGGCAGGGGGACCCACTGCATGGGCAAAAGCCAGGAGGCTGAAAGGTGCCAAGTAAGTGTGGAGGCAGTGAAGGTGTTTTGGTGCCTACCACACATTTGTGTTGGGAGCTGTCAGAGGTGAGGGTGGGTGGGTAAGCTGGCTCTCACTGTCGCAGTAGAGAGGGAAGGCTGGTGTGGTAGGAGCTGTATCTGGCGGTGGATGCCCCTGCTGCCTTTGGGCTGTGGAGTGTTTTAGTGAGGAGGCAGGTAGCAGAGCCAGTGGAGGGCCGGTCCCCCACGCCCCCTCCCACCATGCCTACCATCAACTCCCCCCATTCCCAAGGCTAGATTGACCTTTGCAATGAGAATGGTGGTGGTACAGAAACGACATGTAGAGTTATTTCTCAGTGTGGCCACCAGGTGGCGCAAGTGAGCTGAATTTGGGTCAAACTCTCCAGGTGCTGATGAACAGAGGGGCCTGAGACACTTTTTTTGTTGTTGTTAATCCTCACTGGAGGATATTTCCATTGATTTTTAGATAAAGTAGAAGGGGAGTGGAAGGGAGGGAGAAAGAGAAACATCAACGTGAGAGACATATGGATTGGTTTCCTCCTGGGGCCGGGAATCGAACCTGTAACCCAGGTGCATATCCTTGACTGGGAATCAAACCCGTGACCCTTTAGTCTGTGGCTAATGCTCTAACCTCCGAGCCAAACTGGCCAGGGCTGAGACACCTTCTAATGCAGTCCTTCTCACCCTGGCTGTGAATAGATTCATCTGGGAGCTTTAAAATATATCTGTTACTGAACTCCATCCCCAGAGAGGCTGATTTGGTTGGTTTGCTGGGGGGGCCAGAGCATGATCTTTTAAAAAAATAAATTCCCTAGGTGAGTCCAGTGGACAGTCAAGGTTGAGAACATACCACGTCCTCTAAGCAGGCGTCCCCTACTTTAGTGGGCTTCAGGATCACCTGCAGGCTTGTTAAACTGTTACCCCCTGGGGACCATTGTCCCCTGGTGTTTCCTGCTGCTGGGCCCCACCCCTGGGCTTTTGATTCTGTAGGGCTGGATGTCTAGCAGGCTCCTAGGTGCTGGTGCTCCTGGTCAAGTACCACCTTTGTCAGTCAATTTCTGCAGGAAAGCCAGCTGAGATTTTGATAGGGATTGCGTTGAACGTGTAAATCAGTTTGTGGAGTATTGTCATCTGAACAACAATCACTTTTCTGATCCATGAACATGAGATGATTTCCCATTTATTTAGGTCTTCTTTAATTTCTTATGTGATGTTTTATAGTTCCCAGAGTGTAAGTCTTGTATTCTTTTGTTAAATCTATTCCTACTTTATTGTATTTGTGCTATTATACATAGAATTGATTTCCTTATTTCACTTTTTAGCATGTTCGTTGCTGTGGGATAGAAATACAGTTGGTATTTGTATATTGATCTATCCTGCGACCTTGCTACACTTGTTTATAGGTTCTAATACGTGTTTGTTTTAGTTAATTCCTTAGAATTCTTTGTATACAAGATTGTGTCATCTACAAATAGAGTTTTACAACTTCCTTTCTAATCTGGGTGCCTTTTATTTAATTTTCTTTTCTAACTGCTCTGGCGAGATCTTCCAGTACAATGTTGAACAGAAGTAGCGCGAGCAGACACCTCCGCTTGTTCCTGATCTTGAGGAGGAGGCTTTTAGTCTTTCCCCATTGAGTGTGGGTTTCTCATAGACCCTTTGTCAGGGTGAGGGAATTCCCTTCCATTCCTCGTTTGAGTGTTTTCTTTTCTTTTTTTAAAATCTTCACCAGAGGGTTTGTTTTCTTGATTTTTAGAGAAAGAGAGGAAGGGGGGGAGAGAGAAACATTGGTCACTTGTTTCCCGTACTTGCCCCAACTGAGAATCGAACCCACATCCTTTTGATGTGTGGGGTGAAGCTCCAGCCAACTGAACCACCAGGCCAGGGCTTGAGTGGTTTTTTTTCATGAGTAGATGTTAAATTTTTTTAAGTACTTTTCTATGCCTCTTAAGATTATTAGATGATTTTTGCCCTTTTTTCTATTGGTATAATGTATTATGTAAATTGACTTGGGTTTTAAACCTACACAGCATTCCTGGGATAAATCCTACTTGGTCGTGCATGGCAAGTAATCTTTATATATATCTGCATTTGGTTTGTTGTGAATTTTTTGCATCAGACTCATAGGAGATATTGATCTGTAGTTTTTTTTCTTATGACGTCTTTGTTTGGTTGGTATTAGGGTGATTCTCTCATAGAATGTCACCCTCTCACTTTACAGAAGGGGAGGCTGGAGTGTAGAGAGAGGTGCTATCACAAGCATGCAGTTAGCTTGAGCCGCGTAACAAAATACCGAGGCTGCATGGCTGAAGCAACAGAAATTCATTTTCCCACAGTTCTGGAGGCTGACACGTCCGAGGTCAGGGCTCTGGCTGATTCATTTCCTAGCGCGGGCCCTCATTCTGGCTTGCACGCCGCTGCCGCCTTGCTGTGCCCCCCCAGGCCTTTCCTGGGGCGCGTGTGGGCAGAGGGGGGAAGGAGGCAGGGTGGGCTCTCTGGTATCTCTTCTCATAACGCCACTCATCGTAGGGGTCTAATCCTGGGCCCCTAACAGTGCTGTTAGGGAACAAAGAACGGGAGTGACCTTAGTCCCCTGGGATTTCACAGACTGGATTGAAAAAGGAAAGGACCATTGCAGGGTTGCCACTATGTAACCTTGTTAATGTGTACATTTTAAAGAAAAGAAGGAAGGCGGAAAGAAGCAAAGATTTAAAAAACCCACCTACCATCTGATATGCTTGGGGTTTCATAGAAGAAAAGGTATTTTAGTACCAGAAAAGCACAGTGGGTGTTATCTCAGACTAGAGGACAGTCTTTGAAGAGATGCACACTTCTCAGTTCCCGTGGGCCTGTGAGCTGGTCAGGGGCCTGCACTGGGAATCACAGCCTTTGATGACGAGGCTGCTGTCGCCTTCATCAGGAAGGCCGAAAGCCCCTGTGGCCTGGTGGGCCCAGAGCCCATGTCCTGCCTCGGGTCAGGGTGATCGGAGGTTCCAGCTGCCTCCAGATTAGAAGGGCATCTGGCCAGCTCGGCGTGTGTGTGTGTGTGTATGCGTGCACCCTGGAATGGACTTTATTACGGTTGACACAGTGTCAGTCCCTGTGTGGACGGGAAGGAAGCAGGTTAGATTGTTCCAGGCTGATTGGCAGAAGGCATATGAATGTGGGGGTTGGAGGGAGCTGGGTGCCTACAGGGCTGTCTTATCTCTCTGACCACTGTGCCCTGCCTGCCAGGCTGGGCGGATGCTGCTGCCCTGCAGGGCTGTGTGGGAAGGACACCGGGCCTGGGAGCACAGGGCTTGGCTGGCACACAGTAAGCACTCAACACGTGGGAGGGCTCCTGGCATCATGCTAGCCCAGTGCCTCGAGATGTTCCTCTGAGCTTCAGGACCCCCACTGGTCCAAAGCTTTTAGTGCTAAAGGACTTGGAGA